GGTCAAACAGCATAGGAGTAGGCAGAAGAATAGTCAGGGATGAGCCAGTAGTCAGAACAGGAGACGGTCAACAGAGATCAGGATCAAGCCGGGTCAGCAACGAAGCAGGAACACAGGATACAGGTACAGAGGCTCATGGGAAAACATACACCAAGGCCCAGAGCACAGGCCTGGTCATGCCTTATATACACCTTTCTACAATCAGCCCCAGGTTTGGCTGATTGTGAGCTTCTGGCTGCTAAGAGCACCCGCTGGTCAGCTCTGGTACTGCAGCCCACACGGCAGGTGAGTCCCACCACCAGTGCTGAGTCCATTGCTGAGAGCACCCGCTGGTCAGCTCTGGTACTGCAGCCCACACGGCAGGCGAGTCCCACCACCAGTGCTGAGTCCATTCCTGACAAGATTATTTCATCATAAAAAATGTTCTTTTAACTAGTTAGTGACACCAGCATAGGTTCTTTTTCCCTCTCTGACCACTTTCCTAGTGACAGCTAATGTTGCATCACCGTACACAAGTATGGATCATACACAAGGAATGCAGGCTGTGGATTTTTATTTAGAGGAAGCTACCAATATGTCCTTTTTATATAAAACTTTTATCCTTACTCTTTTAGATTTCGCAATGACCAGCAACTACTTTTGGTAAATTTTATCTGCAGACCAGGGGAGTTGCCATGGGGGCGAAGTTCGCTCCCAGCCTGGCCAATATGTTTATGGCCAGGTGGGAGGAAGATGTAATTTATGCTAGAAACTGGCCAGAATTATTTTTTTACAGACTGTATATTGATGACATTTTGCTCATTTGGAAGGGTGAGGAACAGGCATTGATCAATGTTTTTGGTGAACTAAACAACAACACTTTAAATATTAAACTCACCTATGAATATAGTAAAACTAGTATAAATTTCTTAGGTTTGACATTATATAATCAAGATGGATTAATTGCTACCTCTTCCTTTTTTAAGGAAACAGATTGCAACAGTTACATTCCGAATAACAGCTGTCATCATCCATTATGGCTCTCTAACATACCCAGAGGCCAATTCCTAAGGATTAGGAGAAATTGCACTTCTCTGGATACCTACTTCTCACAGGCTTCTGTTTTGAAAAACAAATTTGTTGAGAAAGGTTACGAGGAGACAGCTTTTAAACAGACTATACAATCGGTAGCTAATCTTGATAGGGAAGAATTGTTGAATAATAATACCAGACAAAAAGAATTGAAAGTTTGTCCGTTCGTTACTACATTCTCCCTACAATATAAAAGCATTTCTAAGATCATCAACAACAATTGGAAGATTTTGAAAATGGATCCGGTCCTAGCAAAAATCTTACCTGAGAAACCAGAGATTACGTTTAGGAGAGCAGCACCTTTAAGAAATCGCATAGCCCCCAACATTATCAACCCGCCTAGCAGTGTGTCCTTTTTCAATAATTTAGCTTGGTTTTTCCATGTAACAAGTGTGTTATATGCACATGTAATCAATATAGGAAAAAGAAAAGTGAGAAGTTTACATCCACTGTCACTGGGAAGACCTATAATATCGACAGCTTTATATCATGCAATAGTAGACATGTTGTCTATCTCTTGCAATGCCTTTGTAAAAAACAGTATATCGGTCGAACTACTAGGCGATTAAGGGACCGATTGCGGGGAACATGTATATAATGTAAAGAGGGGCTATAAGGAACATTCACTTTCTAAGCATTATAGGTTACATCATAATAAAGATCCATCCTCCCTAACCTTTATGGGTATTGATATAGTGCAAGCCCACTGGAGGGACACTAATAAGAGGAGAGCAGTATCCCAAATGGAAACAAAATGGATATTCCAAATGGGATCAATGCATCCTAGGGGATTGAACATTGAGATGGACATCAATTGTTTCATTGATAATAGCTGAGGTTCACTCTACTTCCTACTTATAATGTACAAAGTGGTACTTAATGTAAGTAATCTCTGGTTTGGCCTATTATATGTTTATAGACAAAATTTATCTTAGCTCTCCTTTTCTATTTTATGGTCTCTGGAATTTTATGGTCATTGTGAATTTTAGCATTTCGGTTCTATCTTATTCTATTTTATGTTATTCTTATCCATTCTATTCTATAGGAGGTTTTTATAAATTTTTTTATATTTTTATAAAAAAATTTTATTTATTAGAATTTATTGAGTAGGTGTGTTCAGTTATTTAACGTATGGACACTCCAAGTCTTTTATTGTTATATATCTATCTGACTGTTTTACTGACTCTGTATATTGTTTTATTTTGTATATTGTTTCATATCCATATTTGTATGCTGACATTTATGGATATTTTTATTAAGAGACTACTTTAACCATGATCACCATACACCAGTTTATTTTAAAGCATGGTTCAACCGTAGGCTGTAGAGATTATCCACAACATGGAACATTAAGAAATTATTTCACAGTATCCCATTGCACTTGGCATGAGATCATTACGCGCGCTTATGTATTTTGCAGTGCCATATTAGCATATGGAGCATACTTGTGCGCGTTTGCTATTTGCAGTAACAACCATATACGGTGCAGCGTATGTGTATGTAGGATTTATTCAGGCTTCAAAATCCTATTCGGATAATGGTGTGTTCCCTGTTGATCATTGTTAGTATGTAGTCGGCTCCTGTCTTCATTTACATGGCGCCCCCACATGCACAGTGGTGCGAGCTACATGACAATGGCGCCTGACACGAGGACATTGAGAGATCAGAAAATGGCACGCGCGATTTATGCTATATATTGTAACAAGAGACGTCCATCACTGTAAGCTCACCCCCTATGACTATGTGCGGTCGCACGAAACGCGTCAGGGGCTACGGAGTTGTGACGTCATGCTGTTGGCGCCAAGAGAGCCCTGGAGGCCATCTTCAGATGGTCAGTGTTTTTTGGTTTGCTTATACTCTTTGTTTGCCCAATATTTGAATAAACATTGCCTGTTTAGAAGGTATCACACTATCTGGCCTCCTTTTTTGGAGCTCCTTGTGAGCTACTAATATCCACAGAGCGGCTGCATCACATATGGCAGTGGATACCAGGCAGTGAGAAGCACCTGACCAAGACCAGACCATTGAGGGATCTTCAGTCCTCTGGAATTGATATTTCCTAATGCGCATTTTGATTGCGTATCTGGTGAGTACGCAATCTTATTGCTTTAATCACCATAGCACCAGACCAGACCACTGGACTTTGAAGATCATCTGGATCTCGCACTCCCTTAACATTGGAAGGGAATCTCTGACCCTTCCATCCTCCCTTTCCCCTTTTTTAAACCCCCCTTTTTTACCACTTTTATGGAGTGGTAGAAGGCAAGGTGGATGGGGGAAAGGGAGACAAGTGGGCAGAAATAGATGGGAGGAGAAGGGAAGGTGTAAAGGAAGTAAGGGTTGAACAGAAGGGGAGGGAGGGTCTGGAGAAACGCAGGTCTTTTGGAACTCTAGCAGCTACCATGGGTAGTAGTGTGGTTCATCAAAAACAATAATGTTTTTCCATAGAAATATATTGCATTTTTCATAATTGGCAGTTTACTGTAGTGTCAGTAAAATTCCTAAACAACACTTTATTTTGTTTATTCATCAATTCATTTTCTTTGATGTGGCACAAAAATAGACCATATATGTGTGTGTGTGTGTTAAATTTCTTCTAACTTCCTGTTGCATCTCCAGGACACAAAGCAAACACCCGCCCCCATTGGGACACATAAAGCATCAAACAAGCTGACAGGGTTTTAAAGCCTTGTCTACTCTGCCTAAAACAAAAAAAAAATTTTTGTCAATACATAAGCTTTAAAGAAACATTAAAGTGATTTTAAGAGTTCAATTTTCCTTTTTGGAAAATAACAAACATGCTATACTTACCTGCTCTGTGTAGTGGTTTTGAACAGTGCAGCCTGGATCCTCCTCTTCTTGGGTCCCCTGCAGGCTCTCCTTGCCCCTCGCTCCTGTCTGGTGCCCCCACAGCAAGCAGCTTGCTATGGGGGCATCCGCTTCTCTCTGTGTCCATTCACACACAGAGCTGTGGTTTGGCCCCAACCCCCTCTATCCTCATTGGCTGACTGGCTGTGATTGACAGTAGTGGGAGCCAATGGCTTCCGCTTGCTGTCTCAGCCAATATGAAGGTGGAGACCCAGGACAGCTGAGGCTGTTGTTCACATCACTGGATAGCAATGAGGCTCAGGTAAGTATTGAGGGGGTTGGGGCACTGCTGCACACTGAAGGCTTTTTACCTTCATGCAAAGAATGCATGAAGGTAAAAAACCTTGAGCCTTTACAACCACTTTAAACGATATCCTTGTCCCCCAAATATAATGCATACACATTCACTACTTAATGTCCATGTAATCTCTTTTTCATTAAATTGTTCTTGTTGTAATTTTCTGCCTCCTTGTAATGTCCTCTATAAGCTCTGAAACCTCTTCTTTTGATTAGATAGATAGATAGATAGATAGATAGATAGATAGATAGATAGATTTGATTTATTTTATGCTAATCAATCGTCTTAGAGCTACTTTGATGTCATTGTTCCTGAAACTGTATATTAGTGGGTTTAGTGCTGGTGTTAATACAGTATACAAGAGTGCCAACAATTTATTTGTTTCAAGTGTCTTGTAAGCATTTGGTCTAACATACATAAAAATTCTAGAGCTGTAATAGATAAAAACATCCATAAGATGAGAAACACATGTTAAAATGGCTTTCTGAAATCATTGCTTTGAACTCATATATATTACTGTCCCAACAAGTTTACTGTATGAAACAGTAATAGCAATGAATGAGCTCACCAAAATTGTGGATAAAAAAAAAGACACTGAAATTTCTATGTGACGTGTGCTAAAGCAGGTCAACTGTAAAATTGGTGGAATGTCACAGAAGAAATGGTAAACTCTATGCCTACATAACTGTAACTGTGAAATAAAAACTGATGGAACAACAGGAGACATATAACCAATGAACCAAGAACACAAATCAAAAATATTTCATAAGCTACTGTTTATGATGACTGAATAACGAGGAGGATAACTAATTGCCACATAGCGATCATAAGCCAGAGTCGCTAACAACATATATACTGTAGCTCCTAGAGAAGTAAACAGATATAATTGGATAATACAGTTAGAGAGGAAAATAATCCTTATCTCTGATATTAAAATGTACAATGTTTTTGGAATGACTATAGTTCTGTAGCAAAATTCAAGAAAGGAGAAATTCCCCAGAAAGAAATACATTGGGGTATGTAGAAAGACATAAACTTTATTGACAACAATAAGAGCTAAGTTTTCAAAAATGGTGAAACTGTAGGTTAGAAGAAGTGTCATTATGATCTTGATCAATGGTGATATAGAAAAATCCATCAAAAGATGGATGTTAGTTCTTTGTATATAAAAACAGATTATAAATGTGTTTTATATATTTTCTATAGAAATTAGGTTTTAGGTAAAATATCCAAACTATATTTAATATATAAAAATGATATAATACATATTAAAAATGTGCACTGTTATGAGTCACAATTTTGTACTTTTTGCTGCCATTTCTTAGATGCTTCAATCGCTAGCTCTTTGATGTGAAATTATTTTTTTTTTTTGCCAAAATGTCCCTGGGCATAAATCATGCTTCCAATAGAAATAGGGGTTTGGAAAATCGATCAGCCCGTTCAATTATTAGATTTTGGCACGAAGGATCAGAAAGTGTAGCAATTGTGAAGGATTTTGTAGGAGACTGATGCAGGGTTACCGGTAAACTTTGTATTATACATATAAATAACTTTATATGATATAAAACTGTGCAAATCTTTGTCTGATTCATATGCTTATACTAGTATTTAAAATGTTAGGGTGTTTGTCAGAGGATGGCAACTGTGATTTTGTAAAGAGTGCATGGTAATAAAGGGTGCATTGTAATAAATCTGACACTGTATTTCCTTTCTTACGTTTGTAAAAATGTCAGTGACACTCTTTAGACCATGTAAGTGCATTTTCCAAAATGAAGTCTGAGAACATATACTGTACTTGCATAATTTTCCAGCCTACAAAAATGCATACAAATTATGGATCATTATGATTGCATGAATGTACACCTCAAGCTGATGTACATGCGTGCATGGAAATATTCAAAAATATCAAAATGTGAGGAACCAGTAACCCGTTTGTTTTGATTATACCTATATATTTAAATCAACAGTACAAAGTATATTTTTAAAAATCGTTAACTGAATTTCTTACCTTCCAAATTGCAGTGAGAATGAAACATGGTGACCATGTGCATGGAATGACTAATTCCAATGCTAAATCTTCTCAAAATATAAAAGGTCAGGGTGAAAAGGAAGCTAGTACTTACTGCTGTGGCTGTCAAGCTGTAGGGCTGCTTTTGCATTCCCATAGACTTGTAAAAGGACAAAATCAGTTCTGAAGCAAACAAAAGCCCATTGACGTCTGATGAGCAGAAGGTCGATGAGGGAGAGAAAACCTGCAACAAAGACAAGACAAGTACAAAATCTAACAGTGGTAGCATTTTTATTTTTTCTGTGTTGATGTTGGGTAATTTCTTCTTCTGTATCTGCCCTCAGATACATCACCAACCTCATCTCAAAATATCACCCAAACCATCCACTTTGCTTATGCCAATACCTTCTGCTCTATAGCTCCCTTATTACCTCTTCCCATTCTCTCTTCTAGGGCTCCTCCAGAGCCTCTCACATCATCTAGAACTCCCTACTTTCACCTATATCTTACTTTGGCATTAGGACTATCCCAGAAAACTCATCTCTTCAGGGAAGCCTATCCCAACTGTACTTACCAACTGAAAATTTACTTTATCCATCAGCTCATTACTTGCAGTTATTACTTTTTTTATCATTTTTCAAGACCCTCTTGAATTGTGTTCTGCTATTTCAAAGCCATCATTTTTAATTAGAGCCAGGAAGGTATGTGAGAGTTTAGAAAAAGGCCTAATAAAATAATTTTTGCTAGAAAACAATATTATAAGCAATAGTCAGCATGGATTCACAATAGACCAAAGTAGTCAAACAAATATGCTTTATTTTATAAGGAAGTAAGCAAAAAGGAGGAGCTGTTGATGTAGTACGCATGGACAAAAGTGTTTGATATAATTCCCCACACAGTGCTAATGCATACATGATATTAAAGGCAATTTAAAAAAAAAAAAAAAACATGTCATACTTACCTGCTCTGTGCAGTAGTTTTGCACAGAGAAACCCTGATCCTCCTCTTCTCATGTCCTCTGCTGGTGCTCTTGGACCCTCCCTCCTGCCAATTGCCTCAGAGCAAGCAGCTTGCTATAGGGTCACCCAAGTAGACTTGCTCCTAGGCAGCTGTTCTGTGCATCCATTCGCACACAGAGCCATGGCTTGGTCCCATCCCCTCTCTCTGCTCATTGGCTCACTGGCTGTGATAGCTTCATACATACAATACATGTAGGTAAAAACCTTGAGCCTTTACAACCACTTAAAAGTCTATAGGCTTAGAAAATTCAGTGTGTAAATGGATAGAAAATTGGTTAAAGACTATATTCAGACAGTAGTAATCAATTATTCATACTCTGTATGGTCTAAGGTTATTAGTGGTGTACCCAAGGTATAGTTTTGAGACCCTTTACTTATTTATAAATGATAAAGAGTTTGGGATTAAAAGTACCATTTTTGGATGAAATGCAGATGATTCCAAGCTACATAAAGGAATAACGTCTGTACGGGATGTTTCCAACTTACAAGGAGACTTTAATGTACTGTTTAATCAGGAACCTATGTGGAAAATGAGGTTTAGTATCTATAACTAGTGATGGGCCGAACAACCCCCCCGTTCGGTTGGCGGTCAAACATTCAAACCTAACAAAAGTTTGACAGCGAACTTTGAACCCAGGGGACAATTCACTCTATGGGGTATCTTACCGCATCCAAATATGCGGTAAGGTACCGCACAGCATTTTCCCAAAAAAAGTTGGCATTCACTAATAAAATGCTACTAAAATACCACGTTATTTTTTTAAGTCATGTGGTAATTTAGTAGTGAAAACATCCGGTAATGTTTCAACTGTCAGTGGGGTATCCCACTGACAGCTGAATGTGCAAATAATTGCAGACAACTAAAAATTTTGTAAAAACACGGCGTGGGATCCCCCCTCATCCATACCAAGCCTTGGGGTCTGGTATGGATTTCGAGGGGAACCCCTATGCCAAAATTAAAAAAAAATGGTGTGGGTCCCCCCCCCAAAATCAGTGCCCGACCCTTATCTCAGCATGCATCCCGGAATGTCAAGAAAGGGGGGGATTAGCGAGCGCCTCCCCTCTTGAACCATACCAGGCCACATACCCTCAACATGAGGGGGGATGTTTTGGGGCAGGGGGTCTCCCCTCCTAAGTACCTTGTCCACATGTTGATGGGGACATGGGCCTCTTCCCCACAACCCTGGCCTGTGGGGGTCTGTCGGGGGGGTGACATCGTTATCTGGAAGCCCCTTTAAGAAGCGGGCCCCTGAGATCTCGCTCCCCTCCTTGTGAATGAGTATGAGGTACATAGTATCCCTACACATTCACCAAATAAGTATACAATGTGAATAAAAACACAATAACAGTTTTTGACAAGTCCTTTATTTTGGAAAAAAAAGCCAAAAAAAATGGTTCCATTGATGTAATCCATTGTCAATCATGGCGTCCAGCATTTTCATGCCAATGTGACTGTGGTCAGGTGCCAGGTGCCAATCACAATGTCAGAATGCAGTGCACTGTGGGGTGCAGAGGGCGAACAGCCCCGCCGAAAGCCCTTACTGTTTGTGTGTTTGCTGAACACACGAACAGCCGATGTTCTACTTGAACTTACGTTCGACTCAAACATCAAGGCTATCACTATCTATAAATGTATTTATAGGTATGCATGTGGGGGCTAAAAGTTCTGCACGTGGGGACTGAAACATGCATACATCATACATTCTAGGAGTACAACTGGGGGAGTTAATGGCTAAGAAGAATCTGGGTGTTCTGCTGGACTACAGACATACAGTAATAATAGCATGCAATGCCTAGTTGCAGTTTTAAAAGCAAACAAAATACTTTCTTGTACAGGGGTATAAACACCAGGAAAAGATATAACTTTGCCTCTGTACAAAGTATTAGTAAAGCCTAATCTAGAGTAAGCAGTACAGTTTTGGGCTTCAATTCACAAAAAGGATACTGAGGAACTGATGAAAGTGCATAGAAGAGCAAACAAACTAATATGAGGAATTGAAGACCTTGGCTATGAGGAAAGAATAGTTAAACTGAATTTTGAGAAGAAGTGATTAAGGAGGGATTTTCAAGTAAAAATACATAAGTGGTCCGAATTGTGAACTTGGTGCAGAATTATTTACTTTAAGGCTATTACAAAGGACAATGGGGCACTCTTTACATCTGGAGAAACAGATATTTAACCTTATGGAACACACAGAAAGGCTTTTTCGCAGTAAGCAGTGAAAAGGCAGAACATACTCTCTCAGGAACTAGTTCTGGCCAGATCAGTAAATTGTGGATGCATTCCTTAATGTACAAAACCTAACTGCATATTAAGCGGAGTTCCGCTCACCCTGTCAAAAAATAAAAGTCAACAGCTACAAAAACTGTAGCTGCTGACTTTTAAAAAACAGCCACTTACCTGTCTCTCGGTGCCACGGTGTGTCCCCTGCAGCCCGTTTCACCGGCCGTCCTGTATTCCAGGAGGTCAGCATCTTCAGTGTGGACATCCGGATGTGATAGCTTGTGCCTTCACAGCCGGGTACCCACTGCGCATGCACAAGTAGTGCTAAGATTTGTGAATGGTCCTGTAGTCTCCTGGGACCTGTCACATGTCCCAAAAGACTACAGGGAGGGAGGGGGGGAGGACAACTGCCGCCTAGGCGATCGGACCGGAAGTGGGAGTGGGTACCTGTCAAATTCAGGTACCCACTCCCCCCCACCCCCCCAAAGGTGCCAATCCTTAATGGGGAGCGGGGGAGCAGCCCTAAAACGCAACTTCCCCTTTTGGGTGGAACTCTGCTTTAAGATTTTTAGGTATTAACATTAGAGATTATCAGCCCTGGGGATATCCATTTGCTTTCTTGGGGATTAGGAAGGAATTTATTTTTCCCCTGCTGGAGCAAATTGCACCATGCTTTATTTTTTCTTTGACTTCTATTGGATCAACTGTGAGTATTGGATTTTGTATATGGAGGTTTTCTATTTAATTTTTTTACTGGTTGAGCTAGATGGATTTAATTTTTTCAGCCTGACTAACTATGTATTGTAATTATGCTCTCTCTTTATTTTGTAAAGCACTGCACAAACTGCTAG